ACAATTTGACCCAGTTATCTCACTCCTCAGTATATATTCAAAGGACTCAAATCAGCATATTATAGAAGAGGCGGCCACATCAATGTTTGTAGCAGCTCAATTCACAATAGCTAAGCTATGAACCAACCTAGGTGCCCTTCAATAGATGAATGGATAAAGAAAATGTGGTATATATACATAATGGAATATTACTCAGCCATAAAGAAGAATGAAATGATGGCATTTGGTAGTAAATGGATGGAGCTAGAGACTATCATGCTAAGTGAAATAAGCAAATCCCCAAAAAACAAAGGCCAAATGTTCTCTTTGATATAAAATGCTGATTCACGATGAGTGGGGAGAGGGGAAGTTCACTAGATTGGACAGTGGGGATTGAGGGGAAGAAAGCAGGTATAGGATTGGGAAAGACAATAGAAATGAATCAGACATAACTTTCTTTTGTTTATATATGATTATATAACCAGTGTAACTCCATATCATGTTCAACCACAAAAATGGGAAGTTACACTTCATTTATATATGATATCTCAAAAATACATTCTACTGTCATGTAAAACTAAAAAGAACAAATGAAATAAATTTAAAAGAACATAGGTGCCTTTTTCTACTCTCTCAGGATAAACAACATAAAGATAAAAATGTTGAGCAGTCACTGAAATAGCAATTTCCCAGTACCCTTACCTTGTTACTCAAACAATTTGTGTTTTCTTCTATACCCTATCTGTATGTTCTCTTAACAGTTACAGCAACTCATCACAGGGCAAAGATGTTTATGCAGGACAAGGTTTCAACATGAAAGATGCAACATCTAGCACACTACCCCTCCCTCCCGGCTGAAAACCGAAGAAAAGAAAACACCTTCATAAATGCCCCTAAATCCAATTCTGAAACTCTAGGCCACTCCTACCACCATCCTTTTACATGAATAATACCAGCTATCTCTTTGTCCAAAGAGCGTATTGACACTCTCTTGGTTAGTGCTGTGTCTCCCTTCTGCTCCAGCAAGAAGTCCCAATATAAAGAGTCTTGTTTCTTAGCAGTTGTGCCTTTATCTGATTCTGATGGAAAGCACCAAAACTACTGAATTGATAAAAAGTGACAAGTAATCACTCTGGAAGACTCATTAGGGCACAAGGAGGATGTCGTCTACCTCCAGAACCAAATGGATGTGGTCCTGGGTTGTGCTAAATATTCTTTGCTTCCTCTTCCAGATCACTCTCATATGAAGCTTTATGGGCCACATCAATGGATTCTCTTGCACTTTGGCTTCCAAATGGGTTCTGCCAATTATAGGCAGGAACAGGAGTTCAGAGAATGAAGTAGAGCACTTATTCTTCCCACTCCTTTCCTCCTTAAGCCACATGCATTGGCTTCTGTCTTCTGTTACTAAACTCTTCCTTGTTGCTCAATTTGAGTGAATGACGGTGCTGTTCCCTGACAGAACCTGAACTGACACAGGAAAATGAGCAGCCTTCATTCAGTCTGCAGGAGAAGCAATGTCCTCAGGGGATATCCAAGGGTCATTCAGCTGAGAAGATGAGTGGAAGAATCTAGTGGAAGAGGGATCTAACTGTGATCCTGGCAAGGAGTACTTATGATTTTCATTGCCATTTAATGAGCACTTAGTATTATCAAGTATTGTGCTAGGTATTTTGCATTCAGTATATTATTTAATTCAGTCTTAATATCAAGTAAATGAGGTATCATTATTATTCCACTTTGCAGATGAGGAAACTGAGGCTTTTTGATATTCTGACACTTTTTCTTTGTTTATGGGCAAGATCCTGGCTCTCATTTCTATAAGTCTAGATAACTTCAATGATTAAATGACTTTGTATATATTGGCTACCCAGTTCTCTCACCAGCACACATGGCACTCAAATTGTGACAGATCACTTGGAAACCAAGAGGGAAACTCATCATCATTACATTATTTTATGGTCATAAACAAAGATGCATAGAGCCTTATGGGTGTTATATGGGAGAAAGCGATCCTACCAACATTAATCATACTCCAGACTCTATGCTGAGTACTGTCACTCAAAATGATTCTTTTTTTAAATTTTATTTTATTTATTCATTTTTATGTGGTGCAGAGGATCGAACCCAGTGCCTCACATGTGTGAGGCAAGCGCTCTCCCACTGAGCCACAACCTCAGCCCATACTCAAAATAATTCTAAGGGACAGCTCCATTTGACATAGGAAGAAACTGAGCACTCTAAATGTACAGTTGTATGAGGTTTTTTGTTTGTTTGTTTATTTTTATGTGGTGCTAAGGATCGAACTCAATGCCTCACACATTCTTGGCAAGCTGCCAGGAGTTGGGTATTGAGAGCAAAACTACAACTTCAACCAAAGTCAAAACCCATATGAGGAAAGCTTCCAAAGGAGTTGAACTTCCAATAGAATAACATAGAGGCAGGAAGGAGCAAAGAAGGGAGGCTGGATGGTGGGGGTGACGGGTGTTCAAGGTGCTATAAGCTCCAGGCAGGGTCTCTAATAGGGACAGGCTGACAGAGCAAGGCTAGAACCAGTTGAATTAGGGCCCAGTTTTGTTACCTCTGCCCCAGATCCTGCCTGGGTCACAAACAGCTTCCAGATCAGGACAGGAATGTCCTCATATAAGAACCCAAACTTTCTACTACTTTTGGGGACCCCACTTGTCCAATGTGTCCCAATCTGGACTCCCCAGGCTTTGTGTACGTTTCCACACAAAAATAGAATGTCTGTTGGAAAGTTTCAAAATTTCAAAAAGCCTAGTATAACTTCTATATTTACCTACAGAAAGGTCAGTCATGAATTAATAGATCACATTTCCCTATTTCTGTTAGGAGTCCTTCCAGTGTAGCAATAATGACCCATAGCCTACTAGTGGGAAATGTTGCTTCATTTGTATTCATCTCTTTTATTATTTTAAAATTATTATCATTATTATTATTGCTGGGGATCAAATCCAGGGCCTTGCGAATATCAGGCAAGTGCTGTACCACTGAGCCACATTTCCCCTGCTTTAAATAACACAACAGAGAAATATAAAGCATTTCTTTTTTTTACAAGTCAGGTTTATTGAGATAAAATACATACACAATAGCACTTTAAATGTGCAGTTGTATGAGGTTGTAGGGCATGATGTAACGTAGGACATGTTGCATCAGAAAAGAGGAAACTTAACTTGCTGGCTGCTACCCGCTTCCCAGTCCTGGGGCCACATGTGGCTAAGAGAGCACCTAGCGATTAGCCAGAAGGCATTGCCGTGGGTTGTGATGAAGAATCCGACCACCTCTAGGATAGGCTCAGAACCCTTCTGCCCTCACAGACAGCTTGGGTCTCCCATTACTGCCTGTAGGATGGGTGTAGATGTAAATTCTCCCCACCCTGCTGACCTTTACCCTGATTGGTTCCTGTACATTATATTAGCTGTGTGTGTTTTCTCCTTAAATGAGATCCTGCTTTTACTGTTCTCCCTGGCGTGTCTGATTGTCCTCCTGCAAGGGAGGGCTGGGTGTGGGCGGCCAGAGGTCAGGAGGGAACAGGGAGCTAAAAACCCCCACGTGAGTTTTGTTTGTTTGTTTGTTTGTTTTTATGTGGTGCTGAGGATTGAACCCAGTGCCTCATACATGCTAGGCAAGCTGCTAGGCAAGCGCTCTGCCACTGAGTTACAGCCTCGCCCCATACTTGTATGAGTTTTGACAAACACATTTTGTCATATAACCATCACCACAATGGAGACAGAATATTTCCATTCCCCTAGAAAGTTCCCTGTGTCTGTCTGTCTACATTCAACCCTACCCCAGACCTTGGCAACTTGGCAACTATTTAACTGTTTTCTGTTCCTCCAGTTTTACCTTCTCAAGAATATCATAGAAGTGGAATCATATAATATTCATTTATGAGAACACATATTTCACCTGTTTGGGGTAACAAATACCTAGGACTGGGATGGCTGGATTGTATAGCATAATGCTTGCTCTTACAAGAAATTGCCAAACTGTTTTCCATCATAGTTGTATCAATTTACATTCTAACCAGCAGAGTATGAGAGTTATAGTTGCTGGACATCTTTCCCAGTTCCTGAGGTTGTCAGGGTTTTGTTTTTATCAATTCTAACAGATATGTAGTGGTATCTCACTTTAGGTTTTTGTTTATTAGTTTGTTTGTTTTGTTTTGGTTTTTTTTTTTGTGTGTGTGTGTGTGTGTGTATGTCGTGCTGGGGATTGAACCCAGGGCCTTGTGCATGCACAGCAAGTAGTCTACCAACTGAGCTATATCCCCAGCCCACTTTAGTTTTAATCTGCATTTTCCTAATGTAAATAATTCTCTTTTAACAAAGAAATCTTTTCTGAAGGCATAATATTTCAAAGCTTGGAGACCCTTGTGGTGCAAGCAGAGGGGGTCCTTGTGAAGCCAGATTTAAAGTTAGGTAGTCAGTGTAGTTAGGTAAATCGGGTCTAATACCAAGTGAAATCTAAAATGGAGGCCATGCTGGCAATGATTCCGGGAAACGCAGGACAGCTCATGGAATGTTAATGAAGTCCGAAAAGGCCCTAGGCCAAAGTCCACCTCAAAGAAATGTTAATGAACAGCCCCCAGCAAAAAGGTGCTGACTCAGAAGTCCTTCCTGACCAGATTACTTCTTTGGCCCACCTGTGTCCCACCCCTCGGGCCTTCCCACCTACATTCCATCACCAAAACTATAAAAAGGGGAAACAACCTCACTTCCACGGATTCCACCTCTTGGGTCCCCTTCTTCCTCCGGGAGAAGTCTTTTCTGCTGTCCTTTAATAAACTTCTAATTTCTACTCTGACCTTGCCTCGGCGTGCTTCTTTGGTGTTATTCTTCAACATTGGAGAAGCAAGAACTCGTCACCAGTCAACAGCGGTGACACTTGGTGAAGAATTTTCTGGAAACAGGTTGACTGCTGGTTTTGCCTGATGAATTAGGGGAGCTCTCTCCCTATCCTGGTTCATCAGGGACCTGCATTTCTTCCCAGTGGTCAGAAGAGGGCAGGAGAGGGCAGAAAATAGGCTGCTGGATTTTTTTTTTTTTCTCCCCCGCCTTTTTTTTTTCCCCAGCTCATCAGTCTCTGGTATTCATAACATTTGCATTCATTATTATATTTATAGTTTTGCCTGAAAGCCTTTCCCTCTGAAACTACTTGGCTGCCACTTTGTAAAACAAATGAACCATTTTATATCATGATTGAACTGACTTAATGTCAAACCTTAATTAACCTTGCAAAATCCTTCCCTGCTGGAGCATAACTAACTTAACCCAAGAACTAAGCTAACCAAATTGAGCTACCTTTGTAGAGTCCTTGATAAGTCCACTCTCCACTGTGACCTGTAGAGCTTGTGTTGGGGGAACTACAAGCAGCTGAGCTTGATGAACCCCTATTCTTCCCATTTTCTAACTTTGCAAGGGCCAAGAGAAACTGAGGAAGATTTTTGTGGGGGACAGGCCTTCAAACGCCCAGCTGACTACAGGCCCTCTTCCTTAGGACCTGGGCTGGGGCTGCTCAGGCGGGGCACTGCACAGATCTCCTGCGGCTGGGGCTGCAGAGTGCCCCCAAAGATGTATTCCAGCCTGAGTCCCTGGCTCCCATCCGGTAGTTGGAACCGAAAGGTCCTGAGGAGGGTGGCAAACATCAGGAAGAGTTCCATTCGGGCTAACTGGTCTCCTGGGCACACTCGATGCCCTGGAAACAGAGAAGAAGGTCAGAGGGTGGCAGCTGCTTATGTCTGTCCCATCATCATCACACCTACCACCTGAACCCAGCACTGTGCCTTGTACCCGCAGAAAATGGCAGGAAGGCTTCATTGACCACGAAGTTTCCATCCTTGTCCAGGAAGTGGCTGGGGTTGAATTGCCGCGGGGTCTCCCAGTACTCAGGGTCATAGAGTACGGAGGCCAGGTTGGGCAAGATGATGGTACCCTGTAGAAAGGAGCTGATATGTCTCAGGGAGCCTCAGAGGACCCAGTACCCAGTCCTGACCTGGTCAAAGTGAGCTTCAGGACGAGCAGTGTGCAGGTGGGAGTGGCTGGGGGCTCTCAGGGAGTCCTCCCTCCAGACCCACAGGAGTGTGGGGCCTGAGCATTCCACCTTCTGGGTTACTGGCAACCCACATTTGAGAGACCCACAGAAAAAGAGATGGAGAGAAAGGAATGACAAAGAGAAGACAGGATCACAGAGAAAAAAATGACTGAGAAAGGTAAAGCTTGAGTTTTTAGGGTTGTGCGGGAGAGTATGACCCATCCTCACCTTCATCCTGACCCACCCTAACCCTTGCCCTCATTGTCACCATAATCCTAATCCTCACTGTGTCACAAAGAAGTGACTGATGGATTGGAAACAGGATCAGACTGCTCAGATGGGAGGGAACAGGAAGGAGTCAAAGATTGCAGGCGGGGTCTGCTCCTTCCCATGTGGGCCCTGAGATGACCAGAGATGACATAAGGAGGCCAGCGTGGTACAGGGTGGTGTTGGTTATGGTCCCAGAACCTAGGACAAACAGTTCTAGAATTCTCCATAAGGCTTCCTACCCCATGGCTCAACACCATAGAATCAAATCAGCTACTCTGTGAGGTCTAGGAGACTGACTCCAAGACTCTAGAAACTTAAAACAAAAACCAAGTAATAAAACCTCAGCAAAAATTGAAGCCTGCATCCAAAGCAGAAGCCAATGAAGAAAGCAGAAATTGAGCTGATGTAAAACTTCCTGAAGGCACTTCTCTTTTTTGTTTCCTTATTTTTATTTTATTTGTTCTTTTTAGATATACATGACAGCATAGTGTATTTTGACATATTATACTTCAGAAGACACTTTTCTTTGTTGTTGTTGAAGTTTGTACACTAAGGGAGGTACCAGGACTTATCCTTCTGGACCAATAGGACACCTAGACCTGGTCACTCTGTGGCTTTAAGCATACAGTTGGGGAAGCATGTTTTCTCACTGCTGCCTTTGTGAGCTCTACACATTTTCCCATTATAGTCCTGAGAATTTCTCCCTGTTTTCTTTACCGGGGATTAAGTAACCCTTGGCATTGCAAAAATGTGTGTGTGTGTGCGTGTGTGTGTGTGTGCGTGTGTGTCTGTGTGTGTGTGTCTGTGTGTGTCTGTGTCTGTGTGTGATGCTGGGAATTGAACCCAGAGTCTTGCACATTATAAGCACATAGTCTACTACAGAGCTACACCCCCAGCCTCTTCTACAATTCTTCATCTAATTGCCTTTAGATGAAGGGGCTCTTGGGAAGATGCTCTATTCCTTCTAGAATTATTTATATCCTGTTCTGGGTAATATTCTGGCTTCCTTGCAAGGCAACTGACTGATCTGAGCTCATGGAACAGGTTCAGAGTATCATCTATTCACACACAAAATGTAACCCCCCTACCCCAGTTTATAGAACTATCTTCCTGCTGGATGCTTCCTGGGGACAATATGCCAGTTTCTCCCTAGTAAGAGGCAGTTTGAAGCTCACAATCAAATAGAATGCCTGAGCAGAGATGGGCATGAAGTGCACCATTGTGTTAGGGACCACTGCTATTGTCACTACCACTCAACGGATGAGAACAGTGTAGAGGTATCTGTAACATTTAATGATCTATCATCAAGCTTTGATTCCACTTTCAGCAGACATCCCTGCCTCAAGTTGTAAAAGCTCGATATTGATTCCAGGTTTTTAATGGCCCCCTGGAGTCTTTATTACAGAGCAATTCCTAGAATCAAATCGGCAGGAGCCGGCTCTTAATAAGGAAACTTCTAATCTCAAATGGCATAGAACATCTAAGCCCTGGTCCTCTCTTTTTTAACTTGACCTAATTTGGTATAGTTTTTAGAAAACCTGGGCCCAGGCCCTCCTGCCATGCCAGCAGCAGGATGCCACTGTCCTGTCCTCAAACTTGATAAACCCATGAACTTGGTGGCCAATGAATGCCAAGAACAGCTCAGTATCAGCCAACCAGGCTGATCAATAGATGGATGATGTAAAACATCTGTTTAACGTATCAGTTCGTTTATTCACCAAGAGGCACATTTTTGGAGCAACACAAATAGCAGGGTGCATGTTGAAAAGAACATAATCTTTGAATTCATAAGACAATTACTGAGTTAAGTCATATATTAGCTATGTGTTTAGGGGTTATTACTTGGGCTTTCTAAGCTAAAATTTCCCTGCCAGTAAAAAAAGCTTTTTAAAAGAGGGAAGATCAAATGCAGCCCCTGCATTCTAACTATCTGATTTTTAAAAATCTGTGCATACATGTATTTTTTATTATATTTATTTTATTATTTATTTTTTGGTACTGGGGATTTAATTCCAGGATGCTTTACCACTGAGCTACATCCCCAACCCTTTTTATTTTTAGACAGGATCTTGCTATGTTGCCCAGGGTCTCATTAAATCACTGAGACAGGCCTCAAACTTGCAATCCTTCTGTCTCAGCCTCCTGAGTTGCTGGATTACAGGCATGTGCCACTGAGCCAGTTGTGCATACATTTAAACTGTAACCAATAGTTTATTAGAGTGAGCTCCAAATATATGAGAAACAGTAGTCTCTTATAGCTTCAACTCTGGACTTCATTGTGTTAATGGAACATGAAGTGATACAATATAAATTATTTCTGAAGGGAAAATGCCTGCTTGGTTACGGACAATTCAGACATGTATCCCAAGCAATAGGAAGCCCCATCCTGTCTGATTCTGTAATTAGTCCCATCTACATATCTGAACAAAAGCTTGTTGTAAAATCGTTAGTCTTTAATGAGTAAAAGTTGGGTTTTTTTGTTTGTTTGTTTGTTTTATACCAGGAATTGAACCCAGGGGTGCTTAACCACTGACCCACATCCTCAGCCCTTTTTATTTTTTTATTTTGAGAAAGGGTCTTCCTAAGTTGCTTAGGGCCTTGTTAAATGGCTAAGGCTGGCTTTGAATTTGAGATCCTCCTGTCTCAGCCTCCTGAGCTGCTAGAATTACAGGTGTGTACCACCACACCTGGGGTGAGTAAAAATTTTATATGAAAATTTTACTCATTCACGACTAAAACACCTTCATTTTAACTTGCAAAGTAATTTAACTCTAAAAGAATTTTCTATGTACTTCTGTGTCCCTTCTAAGAGAATTGATCAGTTTTGGACAATAAAAAATATTTTGAGTAATAAAGAGGTTGAGACAAGAAGCAGCTGCCATTTTGAAGACTATCTCCACATTAAAAAAAAAAATCCTACTTAAGGTATTATCCAATATATTTTCCACTGGCCCTTGACAGGCTATTATGAATGATGATCATCAAAACTTCTTGGAGTGTCATAAGATAAATCTTTCCTGATAGGCACACTTCCTTTCATTACACAATGAGAGGCATAACTGTGATTTCCTTTTTTTGCCTTGACTCTAAGGAAACTTAGACACAAGTTTTCTGTATATATGCTATAGCTGTACTGACCTAAATATTTACATATATCTCTTTTCCTCTATCTCTCCTTATTTGGCACTTACTCTTTTAGCCATGAAATAAGAAACAAGAATGACATTTCTGCTAGAAATCAATTCTAAGGAAATAATACAAAATGCAGACCAAGCTTAAAACACACAATAAATTGTAAATGGCCTAAATGTTCACCAATGAGAACTCAAAAAAATCACAAAATCACCCATTTGGCTGGGCACCATTACACATGCCTATAATTCCAGTGACTCAGGAAACTGGGGCAGGAGGATCACACATTTAAGTTGCCTCAGCAACTTAGTTAGACCCGTGTCTCCAAATAAAAAACAAAAGGACTGGGTATGTAGCTCAGTGGTAAAATGCCCCTGGAATCAATCCCCAGCACCAAACCAAACAAAAACAAAGAACACGTATTCAGTGGAACACTGTGCAGACATTAAATGCTGTAGAACAGTGATTTCCAAAGTGTGTTCTCTGGACCCACTGCAACAGCGCCACCTGGGAACCTGTTGCAAAGGCAAATGCTCAGGACCCATCCAGACATTGGGGGTAGAGCCAGCAATGTGTCTTCAAGTGATTCTGATGTATCTGGGGGTTTGAGAACCACTGTTTTAGAAGAATCTGAAAAACGTGTTAAGTGAAATGAAATATTCAGAGTGATATATTCAGCACAATCACAGCTATGTGAAATATATGTATGTAACAAAGATTGCAAAGAGGAACATGCAAGGGTTATCCCTGAACAATAGGAAACTTTAAAAATATCCATCGTGTGTGCATTCTTTTATAACCCCCTATCCCAATGCCATAAATAGGTAATAAATGACTGACTGATGGATAACTGGTAGAGAACTGGCAGGTTGGTAGAAGCTACAGCAGATGGCTGTGCTGGGCAGGAAGAGTGCTGTGTGCAGGCACTGGGGTGGGCATGGGGCCATGCAGGGCCACCTACCTTGGATACGTAGTAACCATGCACCCTGGTGGATGTCACGCACTGGCGCACAGCGCCCACTGCCACAACACTGCTGAGGCGCTGCACCTCATGGAGGACGGCACGGGTGTAGGGTAGTCGCTCTCGGTCTTCATAGCAGACAACTGGGGCAGTGCCCAGCACTGTGTCCAGCTCCTGCTGCACCTTCTCTGTGGGTGGCTCAGCATGACCAGGATGGCCTGGCCTCCTTATCCCACCCCAATGCAGTCTTCCCCACCCAGAGCCACTGAGGCTCACGGTCCCTGGATCAAACTGCCCCACCCTGCTGCCTCTGTTCCCACAGAGACAGAGCCTACTTCTTGTAAATAGGAACTTGAAGGGTTTGCACCCACAGGGGCACTTATGGGAAAGGAAAAGACCCAGAATTGAGCCCCTACTATGTGCCAGGTACTCTATACACAAAGAGCCTTGTGTCACAGGAACTGTTGTCTCTACACATGAGAAAACTAAGGCTCCAACAGAGCGGGTCCTTTTGCCCAAAGTGACAAAACTGGAGCCAGGAGTTGAACTTGGGTCATAGCCAATTTGTCCCTGAGAGAACTGCAGCCACTTTTGCTCCTCTACAACTATGATCTCCAGGTGGACATTAGCATAGGGCCTGGCACTTGGCGGGTGCTGGATCATTACTGAATGAGTGAAATCATGCCACCCCATTTACTCTGGTTCTGAGAGCTGGAATGACTTGCCCAAAGCCACACAGCAGCCTGGGCATTGAAGCCCCTCCCGTTTGACTCAAAGCTATCAATGCTCCCTTTACCACAGAGGTGACATCAGAACCTACTCCTGGGGCCACAGGGCAAAGTGATGGGGGCAATACCCACAGCCCAAAAACCCCATGTGGGATTGGCAGGCACAGGGCAGTCAAGCAGGTATAGCCAAGAGCTCCTCACCCTGGACAGCTCTGTGCTGGACCATGTAGATGAGTGCCCAGTGCAGGGTGGTGGCCGTAGTGTCAATGCCTCCCAGAAACAGGTCGATCACCACCTGGATCAAGTTCTCCTCGTTGAATGTGGAGACAGGGTCATCCATAGCCTGGTGGGCAGTAGGGGAGCAGCTCTGGGTCTGGAGTCTCCCCCAACAGTCTCCTGGTGTCTCCCCACTACCTTTTTTTTTTTTTAGTGGTACTATGGGTTGAACCAAAAGGCCTCTACCACTGAGACATATTCCTAGCCCTTTTTATTTTATTTTGAGACAGGGCCTTGCTAAGTTTCTGAGGCTGGCCTTGAACTTGCAATCCACTTACCTCAAACTCCTGAGTAGCTGCTGTTACAGGCATGTACTGCCCTGCCCTCCTTAAGGCCTGACTTGTTCCAAGACTTCTGCAACCAAAACTCACTGAGGGTCAGATCCATCAGGAGGGTCTGAATCCCAAGACTGCACTGATTTTTGATGGGGGACTGCCCTGGGGTTATGGCCCTGATATCATCCAGGTCCTGTTTTGCAGCCCACCCCTGTCTGCAGAAGCCAGTTCTTGGCATGGGAAAATATAGAGAGAAATGCCTTCTTAATGTAAGCTTCCAGGGTGCTTGGGTCAATGATGAGGAACTGACACCATGGCATAGCAGCCCAGAAACACAGCCCCTTGCTTTCTCTGCAGCTCTTCCAGGCTTACCTTGGTGATCTGGGTCAGGTAGCAGCTGATAAAGTTCTTGGGAGCCTCAGGTGTCCTGAGCTTGCACCTGATGATCTCATGGCAGATGAAGCCCTGCAGAGCTTCTTGGTACCTAAATATCTCCTGGTGAGGTCCTGGGAGGTGGCGGAGGGCCCAGGGAAACATGTCGTAGAGCTGTGGGGAAAGAGTCCCACCCAGGGCCCACTTAGGCCCCAGCTCAGGGCAGCTGAGAGCTGTCCTGAGGGCTCCAAAGTATACTCCAAAGTCTATGGTGACGTAGGCGACCCAGGGCTGCCTTTCCTCTGGAGACCCCAGAATAATCTAAACAGAAATAAGAGCAGTGGTAGCGTGATTGTGTTCAAAGCTTAGCTAGGACACTGCAGGTCTAAAAAGCTGCGTTTCTGAGGCTATAACCTGCCTCTTAACCCTGCCCAACATCCATGCTAAGAGTCTACACAAAGGTTTGGTGCCATGAGCTTCAGCTTGCTGAGAAGAAACTGCCTAAGGAACCAGCATCAGGCCCCACAGCCCCCCCTCCTGCCTGCTTGGCACCCTCCCTACAAGGTCTTGGCCAAGGCCCCTGCCTGCCTTGGGCCCCAGCCATCCCAAGGCCTGCACGTCTGCCCCCCAAATGTCAATTACCCGTCGCCACGTGGTGCTGACAAAGGCCAGGCCAAAGTTGATGGCTTGAATGAGTTCCTGGAAGATGGGCTCCTCCGAAAGGAAGCGGTGGCCAAATACCAGGGCCCCGATGACTCTGGCTGTGGACCTGACAATGGGGACCTGAGGGTTGAAGGGTCTACCTGAGAGTAGAGAGGCAGAGCTCAGGTCAAAGAGGCACAAAAAGAGCTGCCCTGAGCACTCTTCCAGCCTTTGAATAGAGTCGTTCATTTACCTCTTCAGTCACCCATTCTCATTCCTCAGTCACTCCCCATCCCAGGGCTTCCTGAGCACTTTCTATGAGCCAGGCTCTGTGAAATGCACTGGATTTGCAGAGAGAAGTATGAGAGACAGTGTTTAAATGACAACAGAATGCAGGACAGGCATGTCACAGCTGGGAACAAGGGAGGGTGGGAGAGGACTAGCTTTGCCTGAGATTCAGGGAAGACTTCTTAAAGCAGGGGACTTTGGCCAGGTCTGAAAGTGGAGCAGTGGCTTATTACCGTGAGGAAAGGGGTGCGGGTCAGGACACATCTTGAGGGGTGTGCAAATGTTGGAGGTGCGAGAGGTCTTGGGTGTTGATGGAGGACATGTCCCTAGCTATAGAGAAGGAGGGCTTCTGGCTTCCCACTGGGCCTCTGTCCATCCACTTTGGAGAAACTCCCTTCTTTTGATGCAGTTCAAAATCATTTTTAATGTTCCTGGGCTTCATGGGCGCGCACACGCAAACAAATGTGGCAAGGCTCAGCCTCCTCTGCAGGGATGTGCACCTGTGTGGGGGCACGCAGAGTTTAGGATAAGCCAGCTCCTCCCCAATCCTTACCCCTCTCTCTGTGGAAGGCCTCAGCCAGCTCTGCTGCCTCTTCCTGAAGCTGTGCCTCCAGCGCCGGCTTGCCTAGGCCCAACCCACGAAGCGTCGTCAGGCAGAAGCGTCTCTGTTGCCGCCATGTGTGCCCATTGCTGCAGATGACTCCTAGCCAAGGTGGGGAAGGGGTGGGATGGACAGTCACCAGCCCCTCCCAGCCTGCTCCCTGGTCAACATCACCTGGCTCTCACCAGACCCAGAGTCAGATCCAAAACTAACTTCCTGATCAGCTCTGTGGTGGTACTCTGACCAGATGGTGGGCCCCGCTATGGCTTCCCCTAGTCCCCCAGACTGATTTTGCCTTTAAGAGTCCTCATAAGACACAGAAGAGGAGGTAAAGAAAAGGAAAGGGCACGGTCATTTGCTGAGCCAGATGCTGCAATGGGCCTTCTCAGATATTTGGGCTTGCTTAGTCTCCCCCCATCCTCAGAAGGAGAGGGCACTCATGATCTCCATCTAACAGATAAGAACCCAGTCCAGCAAGGAGCTGAAAGGGATTTGAATGCAGGTCTTGTTGATCCTCAGTGCTGCTCCTTCCACACCCTGCCCTCCACTCACATGGAGGTTTGGAGGAGACCTAAGTCCTCCTAGTAGGTCCCTTTCCGTTCACAGTTCTGGGTCAATCCTAACTTTGAGTGACCATCCAGTAAGAGGGGCAATCTTACCTCTTTCTCCAAACAGGTCCTGGAAGAGTGGGGTGAGGGGCCTGCCTGAGAACTGCTCTGAGTTGGAGATCAAAGCTTCCTTCACCGCCTGGAAGCCATTCAGCACCACAACAGGTGTGGGGCCCACCCACACTGTGAACACGTTGCCATGAGTCTGAGCCAGCTGCAGAGAGACAGGGCAACCTAGGACTGTAGACAAAGCCTGTGAACCCCATTTCCTGAGACCTACCTCTTCACATGAATTTCCCACCTTCTTACTCCCAACACTCATGTCAGGTAAACCTTCTCAGAGCACCCCACCCCCTTCCTCAGGCAAACCCAGGTCACAGACTCCCAGGACACAGAGTAGTCAGTGACCAGCACTTATGTCCCATCAGTCCTAGAGGTGGGCATCTTCTACCACTTTATAGATCATACAAATAACAGCTACCATTTCTTGAGGGCTTGATGCCCTGGGTGGACTTCACATGTATTATTTGAGTCCACCTTCAGTGTAAGCATGTGAGGTAGGTAAGAAACCAAAGGCCAAAAGACAGACCAAAAGACCAGGAATGTGGACCAGGTCTTCCGATTACTGGTGTAGTGCTCTTTCTACTGCAGGAGGAGCCTGGGGATCCCAATTATGTGGCATCCTCAACCAGATGCTGAAAACATCCTTATGCAGCACCGATTGAGAGGAGAGCTGAGTACTGCCATGGGGAAGGGTAGTGTCTCCCACCGACCATAGCTCTCAACAGAAATTCAGCTCCGGCCCAGAGATTCCATACCCTACTCAGTACAACTGGAGTCCTCTGACCACCGAAACTATCTACCCTGGAAGGTGTCTTTCTGCAGAGATCATTTGAGTACTGGAGTGTGCCCATGGAGTCCCATTTCTCCTGGTTCCTATTTCAAGTGGCTTTTCAGAAAATGCCTTCAATCCACAACAGTGCTCTCCCCTGGAGTAAGATTCAGTCCTAGTTCCCCTCACCCTTTATGTCACATTTGCAGTAGACTTCTACTGCCCTTGGAATCCTCTTCAGTACACTCTGTACAAAGTCTTTACATTCCATTTTTGCTTAAGTTCTCAGAGCTGATGAGTAACAGGACCAGGATTCACCCCCATATGTGTCTGATTCCAACTTCTTTCTTCTACCTCTAGTGTCCCTGGGCTGAGGACAGGAGGGGTTCCTCTGCCTACCCCTTTCTCCAGCTTGGGGACCAGTTCCCTACCTGGATCAGTGTCTCTGGGTGCAGTCGAAAGCTTAGTTGCCACAGGTTTCCAAGCAGGGGTATGGGGAAAGGGCCAGGAGGAAGGTGACTCCTTTCCCAGCAGAAAGTACCAAGTTTCAGGAACAAGAAGGAGCCAACCAGAAAAGCCAGCCCACTGAGCAGGGAGAACATCTCTGTGGGCCTGTGTCTCCTCTTCTCCCCTTTGCCTCCCAAGGCTTCCAGCAACCGATCTGGCCACCCTCCTCTCCCCACTGCCTGCCCTGACTTTTATGCTGGTGCTCTCAGGCAGTGTGATGGAGGAAGGCAACCCCTAGGGGTCTTTTCCCAGGGAGTAAATCCATTTGGTCACACCTGTCACACCTGAGCCATGCTGCTCAACAGGGCTGCAGGGCTCCAGCCTGGGACAAGTTGGGACACCCTTACTCATACATCAGCATTGGCTTCACCTCTGGCCCATGGAGCTTCACCTTGGGGAAGCTCCTCTCAGCTTCTGCCCAAGCAGTTTTAGCTGACCACATGGCTCAGCTGAGTAGGGGACAGGGGCGTCCACTGGAATGGTGAAGTCTCCTCTGGGGATACTCTCTTCTGGCTGGACATGATTAAAGCTGGGCTCCTGTGCCTGCTCTCTCCCACTCCGGTACACAGCAGCCTCTCCTGAGGGCTCTCCAACCTCCTAGTCTCCACCTGTTCCAACTTCTGGTAAGCTCAGATTTTTCATCTGCCCTGGGCCATGTTTATCAGTGGTTAAGTTTGATAGCCCTTATGTTTCAGCTTAGAAGCAGATTCCTGGAATCTAAACCCAGATCTAGCCCTTACTAGTTGACCTTAGACAGATTATTTAACCTCTACAATGGAGATAAGACACAATGATTATAACCAACTATCTTATAGAGCTGTGATACTGGTCCAGTAGCAGAAAGATTCCACACTCCAATTGGTAAATTGATGATACTTTAATCAAGAGACTATTGGAAAAGGTGTTTGGGTAGCCTGGCACACACACTGTAATTCCAGCACTCAGGAGACTGAGACAGGAGAATCAAAGACAGCCTCAGCAATTTAGTAAGGCCCTAAGCAGCTTACCAAGACCTTGTCTAAATTAAAAATATAAAAAGGGTTGGGGATGTGGTTCAGTGAGCACCCCTTGGTTCAATCCCTGGTACCAAAAACAAAACAAAACAAACAAACAAACAAAAAGATGTTTGGGCAGGGGATCTACAAAGTTAACCACAGCAGGGAGCCCTTTCTACCAGAAGCTCTCAGAGTCAAGGGATATGTTTAAGGGGCACAGAGCTTCAGTTTGGAAAGACAAAAAAACTCTGGTAAAGGACAGTGGTGACAATGTAAATGCACTTAATGCCACAAACTGTACACTTAAAAATGCTTAAAATGGTAAATCATGTGTTAGGTATACAGTGTTTTACTGTAACTTTTAAAAAGTCAACAGGCAGAGATTGGGAGGAAGCTGGAGCCCCTCGCTGCAGCGACTCCTGCTCTGTGAACTCTGTCCAGCTCCAGGGACATCTGACCTGGATGAGGTGAGAGCAGAGCTCCGCTCCCCAGGCTGCTGGGAGGTGAGCTGGGAGGATGCAGCAGGGACTGCACAGTAGTGTTGCTGCTGCAGCTTCCACTAACTGCTGCCTTCTTCCTTTATAAGTTGCCTTCTCTCTGACAAGTCATGTTCCTCCCTCCTCAAAACATTGAGATTACAAGTCTCTGAAACCTTCCCTAGCCAACTCTACCAGTCTCTAACCTCCACCTCC